CATGCAAATCGGTCCGGTGGTTCTCTCAAAGTTAACGTCCAAAGATTCGGACCTCCGTTTTAATGCATCGAAGACAATTTTAGAAAATTATGGGAGAAAATTTGAGAAAATCAAAAAAACGATCACAGCCTGCAAATCTACAGCTCAGGGGCTTTCATTTAAAAAAAATCCCATGCAAATCGGTCCGGTGGTTCTCTCAAAGTTAATGCCCCAAGATTCGGGACTTTGCATTTTAATATATAGGATTCGTTCTATTTGCGACCGACCGTAAACCAAAAAAGTTCTGGCCCAAGACGGGACATTATTCGTGCCTAAAATTTGATTTCAGACGGAGACAGCCGGACATGGGACTAGTGACTACTAGTGATAACGACCCTCGAAAGAAGCCCAGATGACTGACATGATTCTGGCAGAATTCAGTTGGGGGTGTAGAGGCTTGGCAGGATGAGGGGGCTGTGCCCCTTTCAGAATGAGGAGGGTCCGAGAGGAGGGGGTCCCCGAACTTTTTTTTGAAGAAGACCTCTTTTTTTTTGCTTTCGGGGAGGGGACTCTCCCCCTCCCAAAGCTTCACCCCCCTGAACACCCGCTTAGAGAGAGGTATCACCGTCATCTGTCGAGTTTCGTGGAGCAGGACTAGGAAGAGTCCACAGGGGTTTTTTCTGGCTGTCCGCGCGGGGGAAATTTGAATATTCTTCCGGGACCGAGCAACGTCGATGTCGCGCCGATAGGTAGAAGGAGGGCTGGAGGAAGGGTGGAGGGTGGTCTCAAACGGTGCTCTTGCTCGTTTGAGAGCCATTATTCTGACGTTAACGATAGGCCTTAACGATATGAACGAGACACCACGGGATCGTAGGAACTCGTTATGGAGGCATTCCCGCCGCCAATTTAATCCGCCCTGATGCCGCGACGGAATTTTGCCAACAGACCGCAGCTTCCGCAGGCCCCGCGTCAACAACCCCTATGCATTCCAGGTTTGCGGACCTCTCCGTGAACCGCGATTTTTCTCATTTGAATCACATATTGCAGAAAGGGCACTATTGCAGAAATGTTAACTGTTCAGAAAATGCAAAAAACTGATTTGAGTAAACTATAAGCTTTTGGAAAAAAAATTTTCGAGGTTTTCTTTTGTCCCCCAAGTAGACTGACAATTTCCATAAAAAAATTTTACATGATACTCTTTCTGGGTTGTAAATAATGACACTTGAAGGAAGAGCATTAGTGCCCTTTCTATAATACATGGGGGAAGGAGCCATAAAGAGTGATAGAATGAAGCCAGAAAATTATTTTAGCCCTTGTTTTTCATCTCAAATTTATGGCAATGATGCATGTCTATAGCGAAAGTTGGAAATTGTATATCTCCATTGCAACGTTTAAAAATTTCTGCTCTCTTTTTATACTACTTTTTTAAAGAGAACTAATAGAGATTTCCCCATGAAATTTTCAGAAAACAATCTTGATGGTGTGAAGAAAATTTACACAAAATTTCAATAGAGAATACTTAAGAACAAAAAAAAAGAAGACGAAATAAAATTGGCAATGTCGCAATTGATGGTAAGCGATTTCGAACTTTCACCATGTGGTTTGCCCGTAGCTCTGTAAATTCTAAAAATATTTCTGGCTTATTTCAAGTCAAGAAATTTAAAAAAAAATGTATCCTTTAAAGTTCATTAGCGTCATTATACCTACTTCCTCATCCAACCTGTTAAGGGCTCCTCTCACTTCCTACACTCAAGGTTCAATTCTCACTCCTTTCATTTTCAGCGTGAGTGAAGCGTGTAGCGTGATCACTGTCGTTTCGAAACGCAAAATTAACCTCTCAATCGTATCAAAACAAAACAAACGACGAGTTGCCGCTGCCGATGCGCGCGCACCCAGTGGGCATGTACTGCAGAAACGGCACTATATTGCTGCAACAGTGCCCTTTCTGCTCTACGTGAGGAACTTAACCCCTGTCAAAAACACATATAAAATGCGAATATAGTGCCCTGTCTGCACTACAGGATGTGTCTACATACACTAATGCGAAAACCGCAAAAAACTCAATTTCGAAAAAAATGTCGATTGTGCCCTTTCTGTAATAGCTGATTCATTTGCGGAAGGCTTCAGCCGCTCTTATGAGGAGCTCTTTTCCACTCATTCTTTGCCTTTCGCGCAAAGGAATAAGATCGCAGTATGAACCCGGAGACGTTGCAACATTTCCTTCAATAGACAACGAATGGCCTTGGAAAATTGCGAATATTTCTCTTCGAATTTTTCTGACAGTTTCTTTCGCAATTTAATCTAAAATATCTGAAAATTTCAAAAACAAATATGCATAAATTTCCTCAAAAATGCTCGTTTTATCCGTCGTGATTCGGCGATTGCATTACACACTTGCTTCACAAAACGTGAAATAGTTAGTATATGTAATCTACCAGGCTCTTGTTAAAAAAATGCAAGTGGAAGTCTATGTAGACCACCATATGGAGAGTAAGATGTCTTAAAAAAAGCTTTTATTCCGAGCAAAACTTAGTCAGGATCTACTTTCGTAACAATCAAATGGACTACATTTTGCAATTCGGAACTATAATTTCTGGCTCAGTTTAGAAAAAGCGCATGTACCATTAGTTTTCCTACGCACGTAAGTGTTTTTATAGATGAGCCAGAAATTATAGTTCCGACTTGTAAAATGTAGTCCAAATCAACTACGTGGAGAGGAAAATCTACGGCATGAATTACGATATATCGATTGTTATGCCATTTAAACCTATGGAAAGGGATCAATAGGCAGGGTGTTTGCAGCGAACACCTTAATAATCGATTCTTTACCATGGGTTTAAATGGCATAACAATCGATACGTCGCAATTCACGCCACGCCACTTCTGTTACGTGCTTGTCAGGAGAATCCGCTCGATGACAAAATGCTCTGAAAGCTGCAAGTTCATCTTTGACCCTGTAATCCCATTCAAGGAAGGAGACATTTTAATCGGGTCGAGGATGGAAGGTCAAGAGTCAAGTCAAGCATCCAAAGAAAGCCACTCTCAAATGAGTCA